CACCCAAGGCCAGCCGCGACAAAAAAAAAAAAAAAAAACTCACCCCGGGGCAGGCGAGATGCTGTCTACTGCTGAGCTATTAATTTAAAATTCCATTTCAATTCATCAAATGATACGGCTCTATCTGGGTTGACATTAAAAGCTCTTCGCGGCTTACGGAAGGCAAGTGGCACCTTCAGAATGCCGATGCTTTTGGATTGGGAGTTCTTTCTGCAACATGAGCTTCTGAACGTGCAAGAGGGACTGGTAGATTAGCAGTGATTTCATCGCTTTTTAATTATAATTCAGAAGAATTATGGGATTTGAAGCACCTAAGCGCCATTATTTTCTAATTTGCGAAAACCGTATAGAATTGAATGCCATAAGTGCTATATTAGTAAATTGTGCAGTACTAAACATCATAAACGTTCTTTGATCTATAATAGCTTTCTAACTCAAATCTTATCCAAGACAGGATTAACGTGTGGCATATGAGCTGCCCTCGATTCTCTTTACTGAGATGACCAGAACAGATTACTGACGAATGATGTCAAAGAATAGATTTCTCACTGTAACTAAGCTTGTATCATTGCGTTTTGTACAACAGCAGGTCTCTGAGCTCTCAGTCCAACACCACAACAACAGACTGACGAAGGCAACCTTGTACAACCTTGTTGTAATGGATGAATTAGAGTGGAAAAAATAAGCATACATTTGTGTTATTGCATAGTTTTGCTGATGATGTTTTTTTATGGTTGAACAATTAAGAATGAGTATGTTTTGACTTGGTACTATAAACTACCGTTCAAAAGTTTGGGGCCTGCAGCATGTGTAAAAGTCTCTTATGCTCACTGAGGCTGCATTTATTGAATAAAAAAAAAAAATACAAAAAAATATTGTATATTCATAAATATTCATAAAATGAAATGTATTCCTGTGATCAGTGGAAAAAATAAGCATACATTTGTGTTATTGCATAGTTTTGCTGATGATGTTTTTTTATGGTTGAACAATTAAGAATGAGTATGTTTTGACTTGGTACTATAAACTACCGTTCAAAAGTTTGGGGCCTGCAGCATGTGTAAAAGTCTCTTATGCTCACTGAGGCTGCATTTATTGAATAAAAAAAAAAAATACAAAAAAATATTGTATATTCATAAAATATTGTAAAATGAAATGTATTCCTGTGATCAAAGCTGAATTTTCAGCATCATTACGCCAGTCTTCAGTGTCACATGATCCTTCAGAAATCATTCTAATATGCTGATTTACTGCTCAAGAAACATTTCTTATTATCAATGTTGGAAACATTTGTGCTGCTTCATATTTTTGTGAAAACCGTGCATTTAAAAAAAAAATATTACTAATCTCTTTATTGTCACCTTCAATTAATTTAATTAATCCTTGTTGAATAAAAAAAACAAAAAAAAACCTTTTGAATGGTAGTGTATATAATACTCAATGAGACAATCCAATCCAAGTCAATCCAAAAGCCAAATGTTTACACTTTCACATTATAAATACACTTCATTAAATAGATTACTTGGGGTTACAGCATGAAATGATGATGATGACAGAATCAAGAATTTCTCATCAATAAAATTTAAAAAAAGTAACTGCAATTTGGCAAATTAAATGAGAAATGGACACACTAACTAACTACTTTTTAACAAGTGCTCTCCAAGCCACAGAAATACAAAATGAAGTCAGCCAGTGTGAACTTTGTCCAATAGAGCCATGCAATTTCCAAGCAAAAACCAACTCATGAGGACCAATGAGCAATCCCAGCAGATATGAGTTATTGAAAAGGTCAGCACAAGGAAACCATCAATGACCGTGTTCAAAAACAACCGGGAATCTGCCCAGAACCGACCATCATCCAAAACTGACCATGCAATAAATAAATAAATAAATAAAAATGTGACTGTGCTGCAGCCAGGAAGAACAACAAGACAACCTTTAAAAACATAGGACTTTTGCAGAAAGGAGACAAGAAGATATCTACAGTGCAAGACAAGTCAACAACTTAGAGAAACACTGTCTGGTCTTACGACAGCGAGTATTTTTGAGCTGTGATACTAAACACCTCTAACAGGTAAGCATGGTGCTGACAGCATCATACTGGCAGGATATTACTGTGCGACAAGAATCGAAAACAACAGAAGCAAACATCTTCAATTTACATACATAATCTAACTACTACAATAGGGTGCATTCTTTTTGTTTTTATAGACACTGTAGCCATCAGAAAACATACTGAAAATTGTTGAGCCATCAGAAAACACACTGAACCGTATGCGGTCTGCTGTTAGACAGAACAGGCACAATGTGTGCAGACAGCAGCAGCTGACAGAATTCCCTCTGCATTATAGATAAGCAGCTTTAGCTGTCTGTGTCCCTCAAAAAGACTGAAATCACTCAACGACGGCTTTCAATCCAAGTCCCATCATTTATGTTTCTAATAAAACACATAAAAAGTCTAATTTCAGATGATGCATATGAGACTTACTGTATGATGAACATTATGTAAAAAAACACAGGTTTGGGTAAAGGAGTGTAAACATGGAAGAGGAGAAAAAACAAGCTCTTCTGAGCTGCTCTGCTCTCCACGTGCAGTTTGGTGTAAAAACAGAAAGACTAATTTGCAAGAAAATTATATACAATTAATTTCAGATATAGTAACAGCTATAATAATTCCATATTATGAAGTGTTGTAGGTTGTGACCGATTATGATGTTGGACTGGTGCGGTGGTCCCTCTGCTGGTGACACTTTAAACAAATGTCTCCGCAATTACTTTTTTCCTTTCAATAATTATGATTATAAAC